TCCAACCTAAATGATTCTATGATTCTATGATTCTATGATTGCTGAGTAACATTTTTCTGGAATGGCAAAATGCCCTGCTACCTACTGGCTTTAGCTCTACTACTTGCCTCATCAGCTTGTACCAGCCCCCACATCCACCACCCACCTTCTGGGAGGTGGAGGCAAAGCACTTCACAGTGTTGGTGGGCTCCTGTTGCTGTAGGAATACGGCATGTGCCAGCATGTCCTGCAACACAGTGCTATTTACTTCTCAGCTTGATGTGGCAAGACAGTTTTGTCTGCATCACTGAGATGCTTCGAGCTAGCTCAGCCTGGCACTCTTTATGGAGTCCCTTTGGCACAGCTGATTGCACAAGCATGTCCAGATACTCCTGAAATGGAATGTGTTTGGAAAAAAAACACCCAACTATTTTAATTTGAATCTTAAAAGACGATAGAAAATAAAGATAGATCACTGCCATTCCCCCGCATGGTTTCATTCTTACTGGGGGGTAGCTTCAGCTGCATCCAAACCACAACGAACTAATTTCAGTCCGTGCTTCAGTGTGAGCTAACATGCAGTGTATTTAATTGGTACCAACTGAACCAAGGTCTTAGAACCAGGGTTTGGTTTAAGGTTAAAGTGTAGAAGGAAAAGATCCCCCTTTTCAACTGCTATATTGTACTTTGAGTGCTGATGGCAGAGAAAGAAGGTGTGACCTGTCAGAGCAGAGGAGACAGAAAACATCGTATGTTTCTCTCCTGTTGTGCTGCTGTAGTTCACACTGCAATGTGTAGAACAGGTGGCTGATTTCTCCATAGCAGTTTGACAAGCCTATCAAAGCAGATTCCTCTGCATAGCTATGTGAGCAATGAAGAGACAGAGTAATTTGTTTCCCATGGATGTCCCAAGACCTATTTTCCCCAAATTATTCCTATTCTGCATATTGAGCACAGTCCAGTGAACAGGGCATATACTCTGCTAACACTGAACCTCTTAAAAATCATCTATGATTGGGTGACATGAAGCAGGTAAATTATTCTGGCAAAGCTGAAATTTGGTCAGATAACCTTGGATATTGGCCTGAAACAAGTAGTGCTCCTAGTCTCAATCACCAGATACTTCCAAGGCTGAAGAACAGAAGAGTTTCTGGTTCATTAGAGGAATATCTATTCAGCTTGAATCTAATACCTGGTAGTGCTGTGGCCAGAACTCTGAGACAGAATAAATACATTAGATTTGGTGTTTCTTTCATTCTTGAACTACGACCCTGGTTTGTGAAATACTTAGTTGTTCGAAGAATGAAATACTGAGTCACCAGAAGTGAGAGCTGTAACACTGCGGGGGAGCAAAGGCATCGGGAGTTCTCTCTGTTGCAGGTGAGAAGGTAGGAGAAAATCAGTTTTCTTCAGCTTTATCTTTTTATAGCCCAAACAAGTAAAGTCTGTCAGATTCTGCTGGCTCTCTGATCAGGTGCTTGGGTGTGATGACAATAAGTGTTAGTCATGATCACAATGTTATTTGTCCTGTAGATACAGCTGGGTTTTGTACTTGGATAATGAGTGTCTCAACAGGGAAAATTTGGGCATCCTTCAGAGATGCAGCAGGGAAGAGGGTAAAGATCTCTCCTTGTCTTGTCTGGTTCTGCTGAATCGCAGTCCCAGCAATCCCAGGATACAGGAATTGTTCCTCAACAACTCTCCCAAGGAGACAGGAGAGAAAGAAGGAAAGAAGCAGAGCTCTGGGTTTGAGCGAGCAACCTGCAGCTCCATGAAAGACCTTGCAATTCGCTTGCTCTCCTGCACTTTGTGTTGCCCAAGAAGGTGTTCCCTGACAGCGTAGTGCTAGCCAACAGCAGTGAAACTCCACACGGACTTCAACAGAGAGTAAAAAGTTTTTCAGTCCTAACCAAAGCACTGCTGGGTTTTCTATTAAAAACACCCCAAAACAGCTGTGAGTTATGCCCAATAAGTTTAATAATTGATGAAACCATAGCAAGTGACAACTACAATATACAAAGCAGACACAAAAAATGATGGCATAAAAGTGGGAAGGAATAGTGTCTGCGATGAAAAATGAAAGCAAAATACACTTAACAGAGGATATGGGTTCAGATATAACACACACGGTCACATACAACACCGCATTACTAACAGCACACACAGATACTTATACTGGGGATTTTCACAGTTCTCCACTTCATCCCAGATGACAAGTAAATGGATGTTTTTACTCTCTTACATAAATTCTTGTGCACACAACATCATCAGCACCAAAGGTCTGGAAAAGAAATAGAAATCAATCAGAAGACGTGGAACCAGCAAACATTTAACACCATTTTTTAATGTTATTTTTACTATAGTAGCTAGTTCTACAGCAGAAATACATTTCCTTATGTCTTTTGACAGATGAGAGTAAAGAAAGGAGTCATTTTGGAAGAGGAATGCAATGTAAGTGACCTTTTTTCCAAGGCGCAGTGAATTTTGTCAGAATGATAAATGATGCAGAAATTCCCTTTTTCTATAGTTTCTTGGCATGCATTTATAAATAAACATGAGAAAAGAAAAAGAATTTGGAATGTACTGTTATATTTAGAAACAGTTGCAGCACTTTGAACTGGAAATGCTGAGGGTGGAATTCAGGTGTCATGTTCAAAAGGTATTCTTTGATATTTGCAGGTATAAATCAGAGCAGTTCAAATGAAGTCAGTGGAGCAATACTGCAGACATAATGGTGCTGCAAGATGTTGACACACCATGCTAGGATACCAATACCCTCTTCTCCTAAGCTGTAATGTGGGAAGTGTCAATCACAACCTTCTTTCAGGGTGCTGTGACTTTAACCAGTGATTTGTTAACTATGATAAGGGTCTGAAATGAGGGCACATAATGGAGAAAGATGTAGTGGAGATCAAACTCATTTCATATGACTAAACACCTATGAGAATTCACAAATGTTTGGTCACTACACGTCTGAAAGTCACTGACTTACTACAGACTATGTCCCATTAACATTCCATTTCTTATACCAGATTCAGTATCTCAGAGTACCTTGATTTTCCACATACTTAGAGTTGATGTTATATGATGTTATACCATTGACTGAAACAGAGTTTCAGAGATGCATCTGAAAGCCTGTGTTTTTTAAATTGCTCTGTAGTTCTACACTTAAAAGGCCATTCTACTACAGCAATATTGCAGAACACATTATCAGGACAGTTAGGCAGGACAGTGATTATGGCAGCTGCCTGAGAAAGCCACCTAAACCCCAAAGTACATGTACGTAATTTCAGGTCTGGCAGGCTAAAATCAAGCAAGCAATTAAACATGAAGGAAATCATGGGTGCAAGAGTGAGGAAATACTGACTGCAAAAAACTTCATGTTCAGCTACACTGACAGACGGTTTCGAGCTCACCACTAACAAGTTGTGAGGTGGGATGTTTGGCTGTAATAACTGCCAAGGTCTCACTGAAAAATATAATTAAGACCTACCCCAGTGTGTTAGGAAAATTCAGCTGGACTTTATTTGCTTTAATGCTTTCTACGCCTGTTTTGGCCAACAGCTCTTTGAGAGGACTTGGCTTTAAAACTGACTCTGGCTTATATTTTGTTCACTTTATTGAGGAGGAAAGTCTGTTAGTATTTTGGAGATGTAGGCTTTGCTTTTATGCATATACAGAGCTTATAAGAATCTTTATATACATTTTTAGCTTACACATGGAAATGTCTGAAAATTAATGTTAAAGGATGCAGCTAGTTCTCTATTGCTCACAGCACCAGCTGCAAATACCCTTACCATGGCTTCCTTCAACATTTCCAAAATTATACACAAAGG